AAATATTTACAGACGATATGGTACACATAAATGGATATAATGTTTTTAGATCTGACCATGGTAAAAAAGGAGGAGGGGTTGCAATCCTTCAGCTTCAAGTAAGGCAGTTCCTTTGCTTACGATAGTTTTAATGGGGGACTTAAACTGGGACTGGCTATCTCAGTCATCAGACTCATTTAAGGATATTTGTAACTCGCTATGTCTGGAACAACTGATAAACTCACCAACTCGTCTAAATGGAAAGGACACGAATAAATCATCTTTGATTGATGCTATTTTACATAATGTGCCACATGTTTTCTCTGCAGTTGGAATTTTTTTGCAACGATATTAGTGATCACTGTGCAATATCCTGTGTGAGAAATTTTAAAATGCCTAAGAGTCCACCTATATATATATATATATATATATTTTTTTTTTTTTTTTTTTTTTTTTTTAAATGTACAAGCTTTTTTGCATGATGTGTATAATAGTAATTTAGGGTTAGTTTTAAATATACCTGATGTGGTGGTAGCTTGGGATTATTTTAAATTTTATTTTTTTAATTTGTGATAAACACGCTCCTTTCTGTATATTTCGGGTGAGTGTCAAAAGCAAAGAAAACGAATAGTGAAGAAGACTGGTTTCATTATAGATTAATACGGAACAAGTGTACAAAACGTATAAAAAGTTCTAAAAGTAAGTATTATCTTAATCTGATTAACAATAATATGAATGATCCTTCTAAATTTTGTAAAATAACGAAATCCTTTACAGGATCTAATAATTCTACTTGTCTCCCAAAAGTTTTAAAAGTGAACCAAAGATTGATTATAGACCAGGTTAAGATTGTTAACTCGTTTAACAGACATTTAAAATAGTTCGATAACAGATAATAATTTGTTGAACACTGATGAACAGGGAATTGCTGAATCATTTAAATTAAGTAACTCAGAGTTATTTTCTTTTAACCCTATATCTACCCCTCAAGTTCATAAATTACTCTTAGATCGTAAAAAATCAGGTGGGTCTGACAAAATTGATCCAGTTTTTTATAAAGTTTCTGCAGATATTATTGCTGAACCTATTGCATCGATTTTTAATTTGAGTCTATGCACCAATGTAATTCCGCCGTCTTGGAAATCCGCTATGATTATGCCATTACTAAAGAGTGGAGAGCCCTCTGATTTAAATAATTATCGTCCTATTTCTAGACTATCAGTTTTAGCAAAAGTGTTTGAGTCCCTGGTAAATGACCAACTGAAAGAACACTTAGTTAAACATTAATATTTTAAATGCATTTCAGTCAGGATTCAGAGCAGGCCATAGTACGACAACAGCTACTACATTAGTTACAAATGATTTAATCACTGCTCTTGAGAAAAGGCAGCATTGTGCCACCTTATGTTGACTTGACAAAAGCATTTGACTTAGTGGATCATGCACTACTGCTACAGAGGCTTAAAGGTATAGGCCTTGGTAATTTGGCATTGAGTTGGTTTAAAAACTATTTATCGGACAGAACTTGGTGTGTTTCTGTAGATCATTATACTTTTAATATGTTAACTGTTAAGAAGGGTGTCCCACAAGGTTCTTTATTGGCACCACTTTTTTCTATTTTTATTAATTTAGGTCAGGGAATAAACTCTGCGAAGTTACATTTTTATGCTGATGATAGTTATTTATTCAGCTGCATCCTCTTTGTCTCAAGCCATTGAAATTCTTCAGGACTCTTTTTATACTTTTCAGCATACTTTACTACAACTGAAATTAGTTCTAAATGTAAATAAAACCTAAATATATTATTTTTACTCGTAGTCGATCTTTGTCCTCTGATCCATCAATTCTTACTATTGATGGCCTGCACCTAGAAAGAGTAACAGCTTATAAGTATTTAGGAGTATGGCTTGACGAGAAGTTAGCTTTTCATGTACATATTGATAACTTGGTGAAAAGACTTAAACCAAGATTGGGTTTTTTATTTCGGCAAAAAAAAAAAGTTTTCCTTTGGAGCTAGAAAACAAATTATACAGAGTACATTTTTACCCATTTTGGATTATGGAGATGTTATTTACATGCATGCTTCTACGTATCCGCATAGTGTTTACCATGCTGCATTGCGATTTATAACAAATGCTTGCTCACGTACTCATCATTGTTTGCTGTATAATAAAGTAGGTTGGTCCTCTTTATATTAAAAAAGGAAATCACATATGTTAGTGTATACTGTAAAGGCATTGTTGGGCATGCTTCCAAATTACATCTCTAGTCTTTTATGCCTACGTAGAAAGAATTATATCACCAGATCATCAAATGGGATTCAATTAGAAATTCTCAGGATACATTTAGAGCATGGAAAATCAGCTTTCTCTTACTATGCTCCATGGTTGTGGAATTAATTTCAAACTGTAACTCCATTAGAAACAATTCCTTCTTTGCACTGAACTTTTAAAAATATTCAGTGTTTAGCAAATGAATCATGTTGTTTTAATTTTACTGATTTATGATTATTGTTTTTGCTTTGGTTATATGTACTTTTGTGAGGTGTATGTTTGTGAAATTTTATGTGAAATGTTTTGTACGGTCATCTTGGCCAGGACTCCCTGGATGAAGAGATTTCTTTGATCTCAATGGGACCTTCCTGGAAAAATAAAGGATAACTAAATAAAATATCCTTCCACGAAATTAATGTGATGATAAGGATCAAACTGAAGCGAAAGTTAACCTACAAAGGGCATTATGAGTACAAGTATGTACACTAATCATGTTCGAAATGCTCTGAAATATTTGATCCGGTTCAGTGATGTGGAGATTATTGAGCAGTGGATCAACTCTTTGAATGAACCTGAAGAAAATGTTGTACATGAAATAAAGCAACAAGATGTAGTTGAAAAGATCGACGATGAAAATGACCCTGAAGAACAGCCAGCGGAAGACCTGACCTACATCAAAGAGCAAAGTGGTCTTTTGTCAGATGCATCATTGCAACCTGTGGACATTGGTTCAGAAGTAATTGATCCACATTTCCAGGATGTATTACATCTGGCACCGGCTGAAGCTAACAGTCCTGTTAGTTTGTTATGTGATAGGTCCAATGAAGTCAAATGTTTCCCTGTTCTCTCTCCAACTGGTGGTCCAACGTTTCATGATAGGAGGGAGGTAAGAATTACATTGTCAAGATACTTGAATGCAAGAATCCTCAATGCAGATGGACATTTTGCACGGAGCACAGACTTCATTTTCTATGCACAGTATTTGTCGGAAGTTGATCAAGTTGTATCTAATGTTTCACTTGCTTTACGCAAAGGATCTGACAAGAGTTTGTTGACTGAAGTAACATCAGATATGCTAACAAACCCAGACTCGTTGTCTAAAATATAGAATTTCGATGAAGGATACAAGTTTTTGAGACCAATTCGTGGAACGCCACCATATTGGCAATCTACTCAAAAATACCTTTTTGCGCTTGTAAGACAGCTAGGTATTCCGACTTTCTTTGCATCCTTTAGTTCTGCAGATCTCAGATGGCCTGAAATTATTAGCACCATAATCAAACAAGAAGGGAAAAATCTAAAAGCAGATGAACTTGATGGGACTGATTAGACGAAACCCAGTCACTGCAGCAAGGATGTTTGATTATAGATGGCATTGTTTTCTGAGAGATGTAATCATGTCTTCAGCTCAACCGATTGGGAAGATAATAGATTACTTTTATCGTGTAGAGTTTCAACAGTGTGGATCTCATGTTCATGGTCTGTTTTGGGTTGAAAATGCACAAGTTAAATGAAGACAATGATGCGTTGGTTGCCGGTTTCATTGATCATTACATCACTTGTGAGACCCCAAGAGAGGATGAAACTGTGCTTTTGAACACCGTTGACAGTGTCAGACATTCAAAGACGTGTCGTAAGAAAAAGACGGTTTGCAGATTTAATTTTCCACGACCCCCATCTAGCCATACCTTTATTACAAGAGGTGGTGGTCGAGACGATTTGAAGAACAGTGATGGAAAAGATGCTGCAAGTACAATTTTAGAAAAAGTCAAAAGGGCATCTGATACGAATTATGATTCAACAGATGCATTTTGAGTCAATTGGCATTAACCAGACTCTCTTCGAAAACGCCTACAAACAGTGTTCCAAAAAGAAAACTATTGTCCTAAAAAGAAGTCCAAAAGATGTCTGGGTGAACCAATATAATAAACATTTACTGCATGCCTGGCAAGGCAACATGGATATCCAGTATGTTACAGATGCTTACTCTGTAGTGGTTTACATTATTAGTTACATCACAAAAGCAGAACAAATAATGGGACTGTTGCTGCAAACTGCACAAAATGAAGCCATGAATGGAAATCTTGAATCGAGATCATCTTGAAGGAATGTTCTCATAAAGTAAAGTCCAGTTCATTCCAATTGAATTGAATCCTGTGAGTTTGCCTCTTCGTGTTATCAAAAACAAAGATGATCAGTCTGGTGAAGAAACTAGCTTTTGGATGAGCAGTCTGGTAGACCTATACAAGAATAGGCCAAACACGCAGGAGTTTGAGAAGTTTTTGCTCTGAAAACAGGATATTGTCAAAATCGAAGGTCTCTTCACAAAAAAAGGCCACAAGACAAGGTGATTAATCTTAACAACAACTGTGGCTATATGATGAAGAGAACTCGAAATGTGCAGCATCCTACAACTGAGAAAGGAACGCTGATAGACCATGTCTATGTTAAGGATGCAGAAAAAGTTTCAGTCTAAATCGTGCAAACCTATTACAGTTACCATCAGGCAGTACTAATACAGGCAGGCAGGCTGAGGGATTGATTGTGACATGTACGGAAATCATTATAACTGCATTCCCTTTTCTTTTCGGTACCCTTACTGTGCAATGTTCATTCTGAGATTCCAATGGGCATACAACTGGAGAACAAGTGTATAACTTGAGACGGTATGTTCTTTGATGGATTATTATAGGAGTCATTCAGATAGTCTGTTGAATTAATACAGATGTTCCATGTTATCAATGAAGGCAATCGGTTTTATTTGTGCAACACACTGAAATGAAAAAATTGTATCACTGTATTATCTGTTCTGTTTTTGTGTCCATACCATGTGAACACTATCCTGAGATTCCAAGGTCCACAGAGTCCGGTCAATCCAGCCTCAAATTCAAACCAGTGATCGTAGTTCACAATCCTATATCTCCCATAATTGCTATTCTTTCTTGAGCTAACAAGTTTTATCCAGCCAAGGTAACTGTAGTATCTAATTTGTATTCAGCTTTATATGCTTAGATTATTTTTTTAAATTCCGTTTAATTTTCCTTTTTAAGAGATTTTTCTAGTTTTTAACTGACATCAAGTATTTTGTTATTAATCTAATTTCAGTCATATATCCTAAGCCATCCAAACAATACTGGATGTTTCCCAACATCATGGGAAGCATCCAAAAAGACTGCCTGCATCCATCCAGTTGTCTCCTAATATCACAATTAAGTTAATAGAACATCCAAAAAATGGTCCAGATTTACTAAAATCTACAAAGGTAAGTTTACTAAGGTGTGCCAAGTTATATAAACATTTACTGTTTGACAAAATTAATCGTTTTAAAGGCATTGTTAAATGTATCAGCTATATACAAGTAACCACATGCAAGTAATCTTTTTAGACATATGAAATGCACTGAAGTCATCATTTCCCCCATACAAGAGATTCTATACTCCATCCAAACGTCATTCTATACTCCAATAACTCCTATAATAAGGAAAACCACTGATGAAAAGGTAAATGTAGTAGTGTAATGTGTGCAAAACTTGAATTGATTTATTTCTTAAAGCGCTGTTTCACCCTAATAACAATGCATTTTCAGGTTTATACATCAAAACTCAGTCACTACTGTCCACTACTCTCAAAAGGTGAGTGTAGAGATGGTGTCCACATTAGTTGCAAAATATTTTTGTTGTGTAAACACTATCAAGCAGTTAATATTCCATGAATGTATTTTCAGATTTCTGCAATGAGCTACACTTCTGACTTCCTCCTCATCCATTATATGATTCTCCGCTCCATGGATTATTTTTATAAAGAAGCATACAATTGATAAAAAGGTAAATTGAATTGCTTTAATGTCTGCAAAACTTGAATTGACTAATTTCTTCAAGCACTGTTTCACCTAATAACAATACATTTTCAGGTTTGTGCATTAAAACTCAGCAACTACTGTCCACTACTCTCAAACGGTGAGTGCAGAGATGGTGTCTACATAAGTTGCAAAATGTATTTGTTGTGCAAGCATTTCATTTACCAAGCAGCTAATGTTCTATAAATATATATTTTTAGATTTCTGCAATACCCTACACTTGGAACATCCTCATCCAATATGTAGTTCTCTGCTCCATTAACTATTTTTATGAAGAAGCACACAACTGATAAAAAGGTAAATTTAATTGTATAATGTCTGCAAAGCTTAGATTACTGCTCAAAGAAAAGTTAAAGCAATAACAAATATTCTTTATGTGCAGCCCAACTCCATAACTACTGTCCACTACTCTCAAAAGGTGAGTGTAGAGACGGTCTACATTAGTTGCAAAATCTTTTTGTTGTATAAACACTTTATCAAGCAGTTAATGTTCCATGAATGTATTTTCAGATTTCTGCAATGAGTTGCACTTCTAACTTCCTCCTTATTCATTTTATGAATCTCTGTTCCATAAACTGTTTTCATGAAGAAGCACACATCTGATAAACAGGTACATTTAATAGTCGGCTTAATTTTTCAAACTTGATATGCTTTTAATGAGTTTAGTTTATTGATTTTCTGGGTCTTTTTTTTTTTTTTTTACAGTGAAGATAACCATTGTCAACTATCAATTCAGAAAATGTCCCAGCAAAACTCTAAACTGATGCAGGCAGTCAATAGTCAGTTATTTCACAAATGAATACATAATCACAAAAGTAACACATTATATATAAAATATTGGATGGATGGCTTGTATTACATTTAGCCTATTTACAGTAAATTTATTTGGTGCCAGCCAAAGGAGGATGGCCTTCCCCTGCTGAGTCTGGTTTCTCCCTATACCACTTTGCCCATAATGCTCCTCTTTCCTAATTTAGGGAGTTTTTCCTTGCCACTGTCGCCTTCTGGCTTGCTCACTGGGTTATAAAGGCACAATATTTTCAATGTAAACCATGTAAAGTCTTTGATAAAGTAAATGGAAGTGCATGACAGCAAGGCCAAAAGTACATTTGAATCCATCATGTATTTATTTTATTTACAATGCCTTTTGTTGAATTGATCTACATTAGAAATTCTGTGTAGTATGTTAGTTTAGTTCCCCACACAATAATTTGGTTTCTAAAATAAAAAAAAATAGACCTCATCTGTGAGAGCACAATTCTTATCACACTGTGTCACACAGAGGATACATGATAATGGGCAAAACGTACTTTAAAAGTAATTCTCTTAGCATACAAAATGTACATCTTTCTTTTGCATTCAGTTTATTTATTGCTTGTACCATTAAACATGGACTTTGGGGGGGAAATTGTTAAAATATTACATTTAGTGTACACTTAATTTATACAGAATGTTTTAATTCAATGGTTATCCCACTTGAGTTTCTTGTGTGAAATTGAAAGTTCAACTAAAAGCAGTTTTGAAATATTGTATTTATTTCAGTGATACTCTACATGGAACAGGCAAAAATTAAATGCTTTGCTAAAGTGTATAATGGCAGTAGCTGACCCACTCAAGACACATTGGTATCTTTGTTTAAAACTGTAAATTTAACAAAAATCATTAAAACATTTGCTGTATTGCTGCACAGATGTTCCTGTAATGCTGAAGAGATGAAGACATTACATTTACATTTAGTCATTTAGCAGATGCTTTTATCCAAAGCGACTTACAATTGGGGGATACATAAAGCGATTCTTCTTAAAGAGGCAAACATACACAAGAAGTGGTTGTAATACCAAGTTCTTAGACATTGTTCAAATAAGTACAAGCTAGAAAGAGAAGGAATAAATAAAGAATTTTTTTTAATTTTTTTTATGATGAAGTCAAGTAGCTTCAAAAGAGATGAGTTTTCAGCTGTCGCTTGAAAATTGTCAGGGATTCAGCATTCCGGATAGGGGTGGGAAGATCGTTCCACCAGCCAGGAGTGGTGAACGAGAATGTTCTGGAAAGTGATTTTGAGCCTCTCTGTGAAGGTACCTCGAGGTGTCACTCACTAGCGGATCTCAGACTTCTGAAGGGGATGTAAATTCGTAGTAGTGAGTGGAAGTAGGCGGGTGCTGAGCCTGTAGCTGTTCTATATGCAAGCATCAGTGTCTTGAACTTGATTCGAGCCGCAACCGGTAGCCAGTGCAAGGAGATAAAGAGAGGTGTAACATGGGAATAAAAGCGAGGCTCCTATCTTCTTGAATGGGGAGCTGTGTGTCATCAGCATAGCAATGGTAGGAGAAGCCATGTGCCTGTATGATGGGACCCAGTGATGTTGTGTATATGGAGAAGAGGAGGGGTCCAAGAACTGATCCCTGAGGAACCCCAGTGACAAGTTGATGTGCTTTGGATACCTCTCCTCCCCAAGACACCCTGAAAGACCTACCAGTGAGATAGGATTCAAACCAGCGAAGTGGAATCCCTGTGATGCCCATTGAAGAGAGGGCAGACAGGAGGATCTGATGATTGACTGTCAAAAGCAGCAGAAAGATCCAGCAGAATAAGGACTGATGATTTGGAATCAGCTTTTGCAATCCGCAAGGCTTCTGTGACTGACAGTAGCGCAGTCTCAGTTGAATGGTCACTCCTGAAACCTGACTGGTTAGGATCCAGTTATACATTATACACGTGTTCTATTCTATTATAATGTCACCCCACACAAGAATCGAACAAGTGACCATCTGTGAGCACAATTCTAATCACACTGTCACATAGGGCACACAGTCACTGTAATGTTGAAGATATGTTTATAAAAATATAAAAAGCAAAACAGAGGAGCAAGCACTAACTTGCATGCTAGCCAAGAATGTTCATGAAGTGTGGTGCAGAGCAAGAAGAGCAAATACAGCAGAAATGCAATGTACATAATAAAAACAGATGGGTTCGAAAGAACAGAAGTTCAGATGAGAATGACCAAAACCACATTTCTGACTCAAACACACACAGAAAAACCAATGTCTGGAACAGAAGCAACATTAGCCGCCCTGGATTCAAACCCACGACCTGAAAGGCTCAGGATCAGTGGCTTAGCACTCAGCTCACGCACATTCAACAGGCTGCAGAAGAGAGGTTAAGGTGTGAGAATGAGCTCACAAAAAAGTTCTTTGCATGTTACGCTGGTTAATTAGTTAATTGTAATGCAGCATTAGAATGAATGGTAACCGATTAGCTTGCTAATCTTACTAATGTAACCAAGGAATATTACCATGTTTTACCGAATTTGATTAAGATGTCCCATTTAATAATTGAAACTGAATGGTTCGTAATAAATAGTTACATTTATATAAAAAACAAAAGCCATGTAGATCTCAGGCTGCCTGGCGGACATCTCGGCATGGATGAAAGAATATCACTTACAGCTCAACCTGGCAAAGACTGAGCTTCTTGTCTTCCCTGCCACTCCAACTCTACAGTATGATTTTTCCATCCAGCTAGGTTCTTCTACAATTACCCCATCAACTTCGGTCAGAAATCTTGGTGTAACTTTTGATAACCAGCTGACCTTCAAAGACCACATTGCAAAGACCGCTCGATCTTGCAGGTTTGCATTGTTGTCAGACAGCTGAGATAAGTCTGGAAGACTCGTAGTATATTGCTTTGATTAAATGGCTTTTCCCTGTGCCTGCTTCACCAGTAACAAACAAGTGAAATGGTTCAGGGTTTTCTCCAATAAGTTTCTCTAGACACCATTTCCGCACTTTGTAAAAGATTGCAGACTGTTGTGTATTTAATGATCTTAGTAAACATAACGCCTCGTCTCTAGACATTCCAGCATGGTTGCTTTCAATACGGTATGGAATTCGAGGGTTAGTTACAAGATCTGGAATAGAAGACTCAGGATCATCTTCATCAGGAATTATATTACTCTTCCTTTCCTTGATTAGCATCAACAATACATTTTACTTCGGTCACGTTACTTCCACATTTCACAGCACTATTGTTGTAGAATTCCTCATAAGTGGTAAAATTCTGAGGCTTGAGCTGCCAGTCTTCGTAATGTGGTAAGAAAAGTTGTAATAATTAGTAAATACTTTTCGGGATCTTTCTTTGGAGAAAATCTCGGATACCTGACAACTGCAGGTTCAGTTCGAGTTCTCTTCATCATATAGCCACAGTTGTTGTTAAGATTAATCACCTTGTCTTGTGGCCTTTTTTTGTGAAGAGACCTTCGATTTTGACAATATCCTGTTTTCAGAGCAAAAACTTCTCAAACTCCTGCGTGTTTGGCCTATTCTTGTATAGGTCTACCAGACTGCTCATCCAAAAGCTAGTTTCTTCACCAGACTGATCATCTTTGTTTTTGATAACACGAAGAGGCAAACTCACAGGATTCAATTCAATTGGAATGAACTGGACTTTACTTTATGAGAACATTCCTTCAAGATGATCTTGCTTCAAGATTTCCATTCATGGCTTCATTTTGTGCAGTTTGCAGCAACAGTCCCATTATTTGTTCTGCTTTTGTGATGTAACTAATAAATGTAAACCACTACAGAGTAAGCATCTGTAACATACTGGATATCCATGTTGCCTTGCCAGGCATGCAGTAAATGTTTATTATATTGGTTCACCCAGACATCTTTTGGAATTCTTTTTAGGACAATAGTTTTCTTTTTGGAACACTGTTTGTAGGCGTTTTCGAAGAGAGTCTGGTTAATGCCAATTGACTCAAAATGCATCTGTTGAATCATAATTCGTATCAGATGCCCTTTTGACTTTCTAAAATTGTACTTGCAGCATCTTTTCCATCACTGCTCTTCAAATCGTCTCGACTACCACCTCTTGTAATAAAGGTATGGCTAGATGGGGGTCGTGGAAAATTAAATCTGCAAACCGTCTTTTTCTTACGACACGTCTTTGAATGTCTGACACTGA